ATATATATATATATATATATATATATATATATATATGTGGATAGATAGGATCCTAATTGTTTTCTATTTTTCAGCTTTAGGAACTACCTAACCGTGTATACAGTGACAGCGCGACTTTAACTCTGACAGCTTTGAAACGGTTCATACAGCCTCCAGTTCTCGGTTCTCGGCATTTTTTTTTGGTATTTCAAGTTAATATCAATGTTGCAAACAGATAGCCGCCCAATGCCACCGTCTATGAATTACTCTTGATCCCATGTTCTACTAAACACCTCGTTGAGCGCATCTTGAAACGTCCGGCAATTCATATCGATGAGTCCCTTCTTCTCCTTTGCATCCGGATTCTTGATCACGGAAACAAGACAGAGGTATCTAAAAATTGTTCAAGTTAGCAGGAGTATTCGATCGCGAGACAGCGAAGGTGAGGGCCTACTTGTTCATTTCCATTAAATGAATCATGCATTTATCGTGAAGTATCACATGGCTTTCTGCTTCCGACACTTGCGGGCCCTTAGCCTTCCGGTCAGGGTGGTCCCAGGAGTATAGCTCGCTGATGTCAACGATCACATCAATGTAGTCGGAACACATCTCGTAACATGCCATGTCTACTGGTCTTGTGTCGGAAGCGATGTATATCTTGCTGAGAACGTCAAACAAATATGTTTTCTCCATGCCGGAGTTATTTGAGAGGATATTGATGAGGTTTTCCAGCGTCGATAATTGGGGAATCAGCTTTTGAATAACCTTGCTAAAGGCCTCGAAAACCGAATAATCGTATATTGAGGTCAGGTAGTAGTGTATTGGTGCATTTTCGTATCCAGCGTCACTTAGCTCGTCAGAGATTCGCTGGACGATATCTTGAAATGTATCAGAGCGGTATTCTTCTGAGAGTCCATCTACCTTGTGGATAAAGACCTCAATGTTGATGTGTGGGTAGTATTGCTGGATCATGAGTATGGTTTTGTTCAGCCGAGTGACGGCTTCCAGGTAATCGTCCTGGGCATCTATCACCCAAACGAGAGCTCCCAGATTACTGAATAACTCCTCTTGATCAAATGATGGTTCTAGATACTCTAGTTGTCCTGGGAAATCCCAAATCTGAAAATCCATGAAAGAGCTATATCCATGTTAGGCATGCAGTAATACAATATAACATTGGATTGGCCTCGGGTAAAACTTACTGGATAGCATCCTTTTGGATACGTGTCGTAGATTCCAAAAATAGAGTCTCCGTCGGTGGCATCTTGTGGAATACAACGCTCTGAATGGATGATTTTCCGCTTCTATAAGCAGCATTTCAGCACAATGTTACTTTGAAACAGGGGCAGCGGACACAAACCTTCGTAGACCCATCAGCAGAAGACGTGGTCGTGTTTCACGGAATTTTGGATTAGATATCTGAGCAGGCCGAGCGGCCGCTTGACTCTGGGGGACATTGGCCTGTAAATTTTCCTCAAGACTTAGCTGTGCCCTAGTTTTAATGACTGGAGGGTGACCATGTAGGAGAGATGTATTTGAATAGATAAGACGCTCGTGGCCTTGGTCTATGGCCGGGCGCGACCGTCTGGGTAGTGTGGCTGCCATGATATCATGCAAGAAGGGGGCTCAAATATACTCTAAGCAAGAAGAAATGGAACAGGGTATAGGTGACGGCCTGTCAAGAAGGAAGATAGGGATATACAGAGTCCTGGGGGTACATGAAGTTTTTTCAACAGGACATTGTACAGCGCCATATCACGGCCGAACATAACATGTCCCAAACCGTCAAGTTTGATGTATCAAAACAGTCGACAATTCGGAGGATGAAGGGCCTGGAGCTATAGGATGTGGCATCTAAAGGGTATGGGACGTATCCATTCCACCGGATACCCTGACGCAAGAGTGGAGGAAGAAGCAAATGCAGGGCTGAACCAGAGAAGAAAAGGAAAACAAGAAAAAACAAGAAGAAAAAGCCGAGCTGGAAAAAGAAGATGACAGTCTCCCGAGCGAACATATTAATATAAACCGGCCAGGGCTAGATAGTCGTATCGCAACAAAGCCCGATGGCGTCTCCCAGAGCCGCTAATCGTATTGCATGTCAAAAAAGGGGAAATGTTCATGATCACCAGCATCACCAAGGGACGGTACCACGCTGGCTGGGTTCGACCTTAACCCCGGAACGCGAAACAATAAGAGAGGACATTTCATATTTGGCGGGCTTAAGACACGCCCTGGACGTGCTTGGGTAGGCTAAATCGGGGAACGGAGAGCTCCATTGACGGGGAAAAAGGAACGAGACAAGCCATCCACCAGAAAAAGGGGGGTTGGGCGATGAAAGAAAAACGAGAAGAAGAAAAATTGAACGAAGGAGAGGAGGAAGGATGGAGAAGAGTGGTGTCATACCTCCATTACTGCTAAGTTAATAGGCCTTTTCGCCTTGTCTTCAGCCCGCGGCACGACGGCAAGATCCAATAATTAGACCCAACGAGGGCGCAAAGGGCAGAGCGAGCCTGAAGGCTAAGAAAGCTGCACAAGCGGCTGAAAGGCCCCGGGAGGCTGGAAGGTATCTTGTTAACTCTTGTCTAGGTAGAGCGGAAGCAGCAGCAGACATAGAAGGGATACAAAACACCGTAAAACACACCGTGACTTGATCCGGTCAGATCGAGCAGGACGGGCAGTATCTCAATCGTCGATAAGCTCTGGCACTGTGATTAGACAGCTCTATTTAATTAATCCAGGCGTTCTTTGGTCGTGGATACGATATCCCCTGGATGGAACATGAACTGTACGACACTCCAGGAAGGGCAAAAGAGGCGGCTCCCGTATCGAAGGGCTGGTGGCGTGCAAGGTGAAGCGCCGTAGGTCGCCCAATAATTGGTAGCCAGACTAATAAGAGACCAGTAATAATTATAATATCGTGATAAATTGATTATCATGCGGATGAAATAGCGAACTAGTTATTTATTCGATGGTCCGTATATAAATCTGGATACAAGGTTGGCTAAGTATTAGTCATGAATGACTAAGCCAATTATTAACTTCAAGTTTTAACTTTAAATTTCTACATCAACGTCAACTTCAAGAACGACGACGACGACGACGACGACGACGAGGAAGAGGTGCTATAAGATTCTTGGGCTGCCCGCAACTCTTTCATCACCCGATATCCCTGGCCTCTTTGGTGTCGATATTTGCGCTCAAGCGCCAGCAAGTCCTCCCCCTCTCAGCAGGGCCTCAAGGCCAAGGCTGTTGTCGGATTTATCTAATTCTGTTGACACATCGTCAATACCCTTGACCAAAGCTTTGAAATAGTCAGATAACATCAAGGAATGGCTTCTCAACGCCCAAGCAAGTGATAGATGGGTTAAGTCAAGTTAGATGTTGCAGGAGGATTCCCTGCTAAGAGATACTCCTCTTGGCCGGTCACATCGTGAATTTCATTCTCTCAAGGGAACTTTGTACTCCGTAACCTGGTATTTGCATCGTAGCTTGGACTGCACGTTAATTAAATAATAAGATTTGAAACGGTCGTTGGGCAGGGATGGACACATCTAACCTCTATCTCCCCAACTAACCGGTCTTCAAGAGATAAATAACACTGTACAACTTGTTGGCCGTGAGATACTGGATTTTGGTAGCTAGCCATCCATTTTCATTGGCACCGATACAAACAGTTTTATTCAAGTTTATTGGACAAAACTAGTGTATTTACCTATTCATCCAATAAACGTCGAGGCAAGATGTTAACTATATCATTCTTATTGGCCACTCTGTTTGTCCATTAACTACTCCGTACCCTGACGTCGGTTTTCTCTGAAAACACTGTCATCAACTTGACTGATCTACAATTCGCTCCCTAGAGATGCCTCGCCCTATCTACGATCTTTTGGCCAAGGGACAAAGAGTTCTAATAAATGGCAGACGAGGCCAATACCAGGTCGTAAAAGCACTGAAGCGAAATGTCTTTCAGGCTTCGACCGTGGAGTCAAAGACACCGTACGTTTGTCCCTTCCCCTATCTTCTCCTTGGCTTGTATACGCAATCAATGACTAGTTTTACTGCCTGCATATTGATCCGAAAGAAAGAGTTATCATCAAAACAGAGGGAGCCGATCCCGCCATATACCAGACTGAGGCCAATTGCTACGGCTACCGCTGTATCGCCGAATCACCCTTCGTAAGGAGGATGCACGAGGTTGTTGACAATGACACCGATCGATGTATGGTTCTAGAATACCTGGACGCCGATTTGTGGTCATTGAGGACAAGGGCACAGAAACTTGGGGAGCCTTTTTTGAAAGCCGCTGCAAAATCTATCCTCGAGGCTGTGAAAGTATTCTCAGATATGGATGGACATATCACTGCTCTACATACCGGTGTGTATAAGCTCCACAGTGTGGAAAGTAGCTATGCTGCATGTTGGCTAACATCTACTTGCTAGACATTAATCCTAATAACGTCTTGGTTTCCAAGGCAGACTCTCAGAAGCCCATTATCAAGCTCGCGGACCTTGGAGCAGGTTTGTTGCCTTGCCCTGGATAAAGGCTTCATCAGACAAGATGTCTGCTTACCCTCCGCACTAGTAATCCCTTCTCAAGGCTTTGATGACTTCCGGCTACAAGGCACCGAAATTCGTGCACCAGAGATTTGGAAGGGAGTGTTGCCTATGCCTCCCTGCCAAATTTGGTCCATTGGCGTGACTGTAGGCTCAACAGTTCTGTTATGTCTGTTCCTATTACTTTGGCCTCCGATAAATACTGACATCACATACGTAGCTGACCCATTTTGTCGCTAATCGAGTCATATTTGGGAACTGGGATCAGGATTGCCGTGTCCAAGAGCTTCCGCTTGAAGTGGACAGGTGTGCATGGGCTATTGGCAAGATCATCAAACTGGTTGGACGGCTGGAAAGAGACGAAGATCCCAAGTATCAGCTTGAATTTGCCCTGGCAGAACTTTTTGTACAAAAGGACCTTATTAAAGCCAGATCTCTTGAAGAAGAGCTCGCTAAAGCCAGTGTCCCTGAGGATTGCGTCCACTTTCTCCGCTACCTCTTGCATCTCGATTATAAGACGCGGCCAACGGCAGATCAAGCTCTGCAGCATCCCTGGCTCCAGAATTTAGGCTAAGGCCCTAGGAATAGCGAAGAACTCGGTTGTCCTTGTTCATGTAACCTCCCCGGAGATCACTTCAGCAGGCTGAGATATCTTGTCAAGTAGTCCATGCATACGGGCTCGTGGGTAGTTAGGGTATGCGTGTTGCTAGCAGCAAGAATAATGCGTCTCCTACTCCATCCACCTAGTTAGGAGAGCGATCAGTACGATATTACTGATTTTTGCCGTTTGATATCTCTCAGTCGCCTGTTCATTTGTAGTTGCTGAGAGCTTCCTCAAGGTGCCCTCGGCCGCGGCTAAAAAGTTGGCTGAGTCAGGCGGCCAAGCAGTCACCAAGACGAACCAGGGATGGAGAAGGACAAGCTTGCAGAACGACAGCCAGGAGGATACCAGTTTATCAGCCTAGTCGCTGTCGTTATACATACAGAGTACGTCTTGAAGCCTTGTATAACTTGTTGTATCGATAAATAACGAATCGACATCAATAGTTATTTCAATACCGGCTGGATCGACCATGACAACGCTCATCCCCCGCGCTCCTTATTCCGACGAGGAGCTCCGACAGCTCTACCCAAAGAACCTCGAGCTCCAGCTGGTGCAGATAGTAAGTCTACAGCCCATTTCCTCCCTGTTAGGAGCTAGGAAACCGTCAGGCTAACCCTGGATTACGTAGTTTTTACGACATGGTATGATGTCGAGCGGCGATAAGTCCGACGTGAAAGAAGGACGAAGCCCTTTGTTAACGGCATATGAACAGGAGAACGAACCCCCGTCTCGAATAGATTTCAAAATGTACGAATCCATATTTGCGTCTATAAGTACATCGATTAACTGACTCTATGGCTTGATAGGCTGGATTGCACCCATGTAATTGACTCTCGGCCCGCTCGACCCTCCCTCTCCCCTTCTGACCGGCCGTGGATATCTAAACGTTCTATTTTTTGATTACAGACTGGCCGTATTGCAACATCGCTTCCCGGTTAACTGCCATGGCAGCATCGAAACAGGACCTTTCTTCCTGGGATACCTTTCAATGGAAGAGAAGAATGGAACGCTTCGGGGATACCGACGAGCCTGTGATTGCTCTCGGGCCAAAGGGCGAGGTTGACGGCATCTGGTATGTACTGCTTGTATATGCTGCTACCATAAGATACTTGCTGATACACCGGGTATATCAATAGCCAGCTTGGAGAGTTGACGGATAAAGGCCGTCAAACTACCCTTGAGCTTGGGCAGAGACTCAGGCACCTCTACATCGAGCGGCTCGGCTTCATGCCGGAAATTATATCCAATACTGATAACATGTATCTCCGCTCTACTCCCGTTCCGCGAGCTTTGGAGTCATTGCAAAGTGTCTTTTGGGGACTATACCCATCCAGCGCAAGAACTGCAGACTTTGCTACGCCATCTATTATTGTAAGGTCCGCTGCAGAGGAGACTCTATTCCCGAATGAGGGAGGCTGCCATCGTTTCAGACAGCTGGCTAGGCTCT